CCCTCTCCCACTCCCCCCTGCTTGTGTTCCCTCTCTCGCTGTGTCTCTGTCAAATAAATAAATAAAATCTTAAAAAAAAAAAAATAAGGGATACTACTCAAAACCTGACAAGGTCCTTAAGCCGTTGTAACAGAAAGTGTTAGCTTTCTGGAATGTTCTAATACTTTTTCGGAGGTCAAGTTCTAGTTTTTGAAAGATGTATTTACCTCAGTGGCCTCCAGGGAGGGTCCCTCAGATTGCAGAGACTTTGTAAGATGACTTACAAGTATAGGAGAAGAAAATATCAAAGCCCTTGTTGGTGTTTATTTCTATTTTGAGGTATGTTTTATAATGTGCACATAATTGTGTAGTGGTCCTGATATCTGTCTATGTGTGCCCAGGTACCAACGTACAATTTACAGATATACATTGTATGTGGGGAGGTCTTACTGATGGGACATCCAACCAAAAGGTGTAAAAACCATTGAAATTGTTGGCAGGAGGTTAAATTGTCATTAAAAAATAGAGGGTTTTTTTTTTTTTTTAAGAACTCTATCAGAGTATAATGTATGCATAGATTTTTGCAGCTACCTTTTATGTATAGAAGTTCATAGATAATGAACAGGGAAGCTCCATGTCCCCCCTCCATCTTTAACCCTGTCACAGTAGGCAGTGGCTTGAGGAGGTTTGGGGTTTAGCATCTAGTAATATTCTTCTGCTGCTTGTGGTTGTGATCTACGCAAGCACCATCACCATCTATTTGGTTTTGCTGTGCTAGAAAAACACGTATCCGCACCCTGTACCCTTCTCCACTTTCCTTTCTTGCCTTGTTCTAGGAGCATGACGCTAAGTGTCTCTGGGTTACCTCTGTCATTTTGTGTGTGTGTGGGGGGGGTGGTGGCTAAAAAAACACATGACCTAAGATTCACCATCTTAACTCTTTTTAAGGGCACAGTTCACTAGTGTTCAGTGTATTCACAGTGGTGAATTACAGTGTACATTTATAGCGTTACATTGTTGTAAGAATAGATCTCCAGAACTTTTTCATCTTGGGAAGCTGAAACTCTGTCCCCATTCCCCCTTCCCTTTCAATTCCACCAACGTGACTAACTTAGATACCTCCTAGAAGTAGAATATCCACAGTATTTGCCTTTTTGTGACTGCTTACCTCTGTCATTTTAAATAATAGATTTAAGCTTAAATTTCTCTTTCTTGTTCCATCCACTCCAGATAGTTTCTCTCTCCTGCCTCTCTTCTGTTTTTCTTCTTTCCATCTCTCTCCCTCCTTCTCTTTCCTTCCTCTTTCTCCCTCCCTTTCTCCTCTTCCCTGCAATTATAGCCTCCTTATTATATAAGGTCCAAAGGGAAGATGGGAAACCAGAATGGGACACCTCTTTAAAATCTCCATAAAGCAGCACTCGTCAGCCTCATTTAGCAAGTGTCATCTTTCATGTGTAAATGGAAAATAAACAAAAAGGAGCCCCCGCCTGTGAGCAGCCCCGGGAGCCCCGGGCGGGGAGCACGGGGGGCGGCATCTGCGGGCGGGCAGGGCGGGGTGGGACGCCGGCTTCCTCTGCCTTCGCAGGGAGCACCATCATGTACGGGGCCCTGCTGCTGTTTGAGTCGGAGTTTGTGCACATCGTGGCGATCTCCTTCACGTCGCTGATCCTCACTGAGCTGCTGATGGTGGCCCTGACGATCCAGACGTGGCATTGGCTCATGACAGTGGCCGAGCTGCTCAGTCTGGCCTGCTACATCGCCTCCCTGGTGTTCCTACATGAATTCATCGGTAAGAGCCCCCCACGCCCCACCCTGGGGCTGCATCCTAGCAGTCGGGTCCGGGGGCCTCCCGGGACTCATCCTGAGCTCTTTGTCCAGCAGGCCTTGGCACTCAGCGGCCCCCATTTTGTTACTGGCGTCCCCTTGGGGCAAGTGGCAATTGTGACTCAGCTTCCTGGAACAGAGGTTCTCGGGCGTGATGTCACTAGGGTTTCCTTTTAAAAGCACACTGTGTTAACTGGCTTAGAAGGGGATCCCATGTAATTCAGCAAAGACCGGGTGGGATTCTCGAGGGAGCTGGTCACTGTGCTGGGCTCTGGGAGGCTGTGGAGAGGTCAGACGTCCAGGTCTTGCTCATGAATAAGTGCTAGCCCTGCAGGATTTGTCCTTATCAGGAGGTGGAGAAACTCCGCCTTTCCCTGAAAGCACCTCTGATTCCATCTCTTGTTGATCAGCAAACAGCAAAAAGGTAAGAGGAGCATCCTGTGAAAAGTGAAGTCCTCAAGGAGTTTCACACCTGTCCTGAGAGTCTGTCCGAATGGGTTTTGTGAGCGCCTGCTGTGCGCGCAGTGGCTTGGGGGTGTTGAGCTCTGCCCTCGGGAAGCTGCCACGGGGCCGGGTGGGCAGCCACGGGGCCGGGTGGGCAGCCACGGGCAGGCTCCACGGCTGGGCACTCTGGGACTGTGGCCAGTGCCAGCCGCCCGCTCCCCATCCTGAGCTCCACTGCTGCGGAAACCCATGGCCATGCTCTGCTCTCGCAGAACCCTCTGGACTGCAGGCTTACTGTCCTGCAGCAGAAGGGAGCAGCCGTGCTTAGCTGGAAGCCCCCCGGGGCTACCCGTTTCCCACTTGGCACCGCCCTCAGGCCCCGCTGACCGGGCTTTGGTGATCATCCCAGAGGCGAAGGGAGAATATTTCTGGTGTTGGAGTGCCTTTCTGCTCTCGGGCGGCAGGGTGTACAAAGAAAAACCCCGGCTGTCAGATTCCACATCAGAAACACCTGTAAGAATTGCTTGTGCCCCTCATTTTCTTTCCCTGGTGTTGGAAACAGCATTTCAGTGACCGTCAGTGAATTCAGCTGCAGAAGCAGGTCAGAGAGAGGAGGGAGCTGGGAGAGTCCAGGTCCTGCGAGACTGAGCCGAAGAAAAGGGCCAGTGTCAGGAGGCCACGTGTCGGTGGCGGGAGACCGCTCCCCCCCATTCCCCCGGATCACTGTGCTGGCTATTCTGAGCTGCACACACCTTCTGGAACATTCTGCCTGCTCACTGCTGTCTTCCCGTTTGCTTGCAGATGTGTACTTCATCGCCACTTTGTCGTTCTTGTGGAAGGTCTCCGTTATCACTCTGGTCAGCTGTCTGCCCCTGTACGTTCTCAAGTACCTGCGGAGAAGGTTCTCCCCGCCCAGCTACTCGAAGCTCACATCGTAGGCGTGCGCTGGCCCGGGGCGCGGTGGCCTCTGCGCTCTCCTCGCGGGCAGAGTTCAAGTTGCGTTGTTGTTAACCGCCACCTGTGGATCTTGCAGTAATCGCTAACGTGCAGTTCTGACGTGAAAAGGCTCTGCACGGAGTCCTGACGCTGAATGATCGGGGAGGTTCCTGGAAGGGGCCCACGCGGGCCTGCTCGGGCCCCTGGCGGTTTGGCCCGGGGTGAATGTACATATGTTAAAGCTGGTGGCTCGGCTAACAGATTTATACATGGGTCACTGTGCAAGCTTCCTATGACTTGAATTTTGTTGTCATGTGATAAAAGTTTGTCTAATTGACGATTGTAGAGGGGTTTTTGTTTTAAACCATCCTAATGTGTGTGTACTCTTTACATCTTTCTCACTCTTAAAAACCAGTTGTTTCAGAGAAATGTAAAAGCTCTTGGTATAGGTTTGTGGAAAAAGACCGTGACTTTGGTACAAAGTTATGGAGACGGCAATCTCAAGGTGGCAATGCGGAATATCCTGTCCGAGGTAGCGCTGATCACTGAGGCCGCACCGGCTTCCTAGAATGTCACAAAGCAAATGGGAGGAGAGAGCGTGAGAGAACGAGCCGTAAATCCAGTCTGGTCTCCTCCCTCGGACTCAGCATCTCCAGCGCTTGACTTAGCTTCACCTGCCACCTCATAAAAGAATTTCAAAAGTGTTATCCTGCTTTGTTCGGACCTGGTAACAATTATCAAGCCTGTAGCCGGCTGAGGACACCCTCAGATGTTTTCAGCAGAGTTGTTGTAGCAGGAAACGTGCCACTGAACAGCTCCCAAACGTGTCGACAGAGTGATAAGAGACTCAACTAATTCTTTAGACAACGCTGCATGTGTGGCCGGGCCCCTCCGAGTCCGAGTGCAAGGTCAGGGATGGGGGCTCTCGGCTTCCACACAAGTCTGTTCCCCATCAGGAGGCCGAATGACAAAGGCAGAGGCGTCTCACGTGTTGCCGCGCATCGTTCGGCGGTGGCCGCCCCGGTGGGAGGAGGCCCGGGCTCCGTCGTGCTGCCTACAGCTTTCAAGGGGAGCTTGCTGGAAGGCAGGTGGTGGCAGAGATCCCTCCCCCACAGGGACAGAGTACACGCATGTGTGTTTCTCATAAAGCTGTGGCTTCTCGCTTCAGAGGAGGAAGGCGGTGTGCAAGGCCTGCACGGGGCGGGGCAGGGCATTCGTTCTTGGGTTTTCAAGTCGCTCGGCGCCGCAGCCGCGTAGCATGGCACCAGGGTTCGGCTGGTAGACCTTCCAGAGCTGACCGTGCTCGAGATCGTGGACTTGGATTAATTCCTTCCGCCCTCCTGCCTGTGTGTGCTTCAGGGCTCCGAGCCCGGCCTGGTGGCGGCGCCCACTACCCTCTGGGCAGCCGGTTCTGGGGGAGTTGGGGGCGGGAGGAACAGGCGGTGGTCCCCTTGCCTGGGGAGCCCTCTCGATATGCTCGTGTGTTTATGTTGCCCGTTTAAAACTTCGTAAAATGGCCGTAGTTTCGGGCCCTGGGAAGCTGGCTGTAGACGTGGCTTCGGTGTTAAGATTGTGCATTTCTGCGGTCACGTTTGCCTTCCCGTGCCGCCCGTTCCTGCCACGCAGAAAAGACCTACAGAGAATATAGGTTGCAGTGAATGAATGGTTTATTTAGGAATAGGGCCTTGGTCCCAAACTCTCAGGAAGATCAAACACGCCTGACGTCTTCCTGAGTGACGTTACGGAGTTTCATAGGGGAGGGGAGCGTGGGGCTGAGAGTTTCACACTTCTGACCTGTGTTTTTTGAAGTCCGATTATAAGTGTCAAGTCGTTCCGTTCTGAGTTTGCAGGCCCTGAAACTGGCCTTCTTCACAGACAGGTGATGGCTCCTGAGGTGGGGTTGTAGAACCATTGCTAGGAAATTTTAGACGTTCCCAGCAGATAGAGGGAGATGGTCTGTCTGGTTTCTTCCCTCCAGTCCCAAGTTTGATCCGGGTGTGTGAGCTGACTTTTGAAGTCAACACCTGAGATACTGCTTGCCATCTCCAAGGAAGGAAGCTTCTCAGAGAGGCTGAAGAAGTCCCCCTGCCCCCCGGAAGTTGAAGGATGCTTGTCCGTACCATTGCAAACCTTTTTGCCTTGTCTCGGCCACACTCTGGTAGGCAGTCAAGGGCCAGAGGGACCGAAACCCAAGTGGAGCCCAGACCACCATGCCGTGGAGCGGCCCCATTAGTGGGCAGCCCGTTCATACCCCCTGCCGGGGAGGCCTCGAATGTCCAGGAACACGTGTGCTTCTCAAAGTTGGAGCCCCAAAGAGCAGGAGCCTCACCTGCACACGTCAGACTCATCCCAGCAGAGAAAAGTGGTGCACACACGGGTTATCTTAGTTATGGGGGAAGACAAACACCCGAGCTGCTTTATAGGCAACTCCTGAGTTCATAAACCGTAAGCATAAGGATTCTGTTGACCATTTCCTTGGTTTACCAATCTGGAAAGAATTTAGGAAGCACCACTGACCCCTTCCCCTCTTTTTGAACCTCAGTGGGACCTAAGTCTCTGACAGCTGATTTAATTCGAGGCTGGAGGCCGCACGGCATGCAATCAGTGCTGTTCAAACATTTCTCCTTAAAGTAAAAATTACAACCCCCCCCCCCGACACCACTACCCATTTCTGTCACAGCTCATATGTTTTATGATGATTTTTATTCGATCTTTCGGTGATGGTTGTGTGTGCGTGAGGACAATGGGATCTGTTTGTGGTTTCTCCTTTTCCCCTCCTTCCTTCCTCTAAGAAAATGACCAGATGGAGCTTCTCCGGCTTCAGTAATTTCTGGCGCCTGACGGTGTTGGCCCTGGTTTGGTGCCTGGCGAGCACAGGTGTGAGTCGCCCGCGCTGACGGAGGCTGCTCGGGGCGGCGGACTCCCGACACGGAGCCACAGAGGCCATCCCCGGGAGCGTCCTGACACCGGAGCAGACCACCTGTTCGCAGCCGCTGGGAGCGGGGAGACCAAGAGCCGGGGTGTCTCCCACTGTTGCGGTTATTCTCTCCAGGTCTCGGGCCTGCTTCCCTTAGTAAGAGAAGCCCTTCCGTGTCGCAGTAATCTTGAATACCAGTGTCTGCTGACCCTTCCCTTAGTGTGTTCTCTGCTGAAAGTTTAGGTTACACTGACAACTTTTGAATGTATTTTGAGTTTTGTGCTCATTGGAAATTGACACGATAATGCCTCTTCTTTCTCTGGACTTTTGCTTTTATACTTTGTTTTGTTTTTACTGGGGTGGGGATGGGAACGCCCTCATGCCTTTATGGGGCAGCATTTTAAACCTTTGCCAAAATTTGCCGATGGGACCTACATGTGCTTCCACTCCATCCTATTGAAGGCAAACACCTGTCAGCTGTTTTATCTTTAATCTGTGTGTGTTTAAGTGTGGGTGTGTGTATGTGAGTGTGTCACCTCCAATTTTTTGATGAGATACTTGGTTTGCATTTAAATCCCGTTACTCCCAGCTTTGTTTTCATTAAAAAGCATACAAGGAGCTTTGTAAATACAACCGATTTTATCTCTCCTCCCTTCCTTTAATGTAAAGCCTTTTGTCATGTATACTTACAGGGAAATATTTCCACTAATGATGTTCATTTCGTCTTGGAAAAGTATTATGTTTTTGAATGGAACGGAGAGGCACACCACGGCGTGAGCAGCGCCCCGAAGACCTTGAGCTCCACGGCACCTGCTCACGCCCCAGCAGCTTTACCTGCGGATCCGTCCTGGTCACCCCATGGTCAGAGGTGCCATCCGTTCACATCACTGGGCAACGTCAGTGAATCCTGTGTTTGTTGGGGGGGGGCAGGTGGGGTGGGGGGGTGCACAAAAAAAGTTGTGGCTAATTTATGATTTTGTTGCAATGGGGCTAACTATAAACTCTCCTAGGAGTCCACGGCTGCCCTGTTAGTAGGTCTGTACGGGTGATCGCCTTGCAGATACTCACCAGGACAGCGTTTTGTCATTAGAGGGAAGCCTGGTACAGGATGCTTTAATTTAGCGGGGACTCCCAGATGATTTAAATTCTCGATCCTGTGATGATACACATGTGATCCTGCGTGTTTCTGAGCGGTTCTCCTTTCATGGTCTGCCAGCCTGGCCCGTCGCTGTTGCCCAATAAAGCTTGTGTACTTTATGCCTTTGGGGGATCATTTTAATTTATGCAGAAACATGAATTCTGGTGTCAAAATGAAGGCTGTTTTATGTGTAACTCATGGACAAAAAGTGTGAATAGCTTTTTCTCCAGTTAAAGTTATTTCGATTTTGGCAAAGAAAAAAAAAAATCCCATCCTAAACCCATGCATTATTATTCTGTACTGTTGTCTATTCCAGACATGTCAGAATTTCAAAAGGTAATCGATATAAATAGGAAAAAACATAAGATTCATTTTTTATTTATACACACAGTCCTTGATCAGTTTAGATACTTTTTTTTTTTTAAATCAAAGGATAGATTTAGGAACACAGTCACCTAAGTTTTAGGCAGAGGAGGTTTGTAAGCTGTTGTGTAGGAAGCGGAGGACATGTTTTATTAATTTCACCCAGTGCCTCTGAGCCAGGTAGAGCCGGGAAGCACTTTTGGTCGTCACAATTGGGGCGGGCTGCTCAGGGAGCTGATGAGGGAGAGGCCAGCGATGCTGCAGGACGGCCCCCACAACATGGAATTACTCGATCCGGAATGTCCAACGTGCCGAGGTTGAGAACCCTCCTCCCCACCCCCCTACAACCCGCACGTGTCCCATCTATCATTTGCAGGAGACTTTCTTCCTTCCAGAGGAGCGCAGCGGTGGGAAAGCCTGTGTCTCAGGGAACCAGCTACGTACACACCCAACTGGCCAAGTGTTTTAATTAGGAGCTGTTTGTGGTGTGGGCTGCTGGTTTCCTCCTCCTGGCTCTGCGCTGCAAGGGTCATCCTCAGTTTATCGATCAGAAAGGGAATTGTAAACTAGCCGCCTCTCAACCCCGGAGTGGCTCCTCTGGGCATATTGGAGGCGCGTGCTCTCAGCCCCTGTGACGTGGGTTCCAGAGGGGTGGACAGACCCACGGTACTTTTCCGGAACGGGGTGCTGTCAAGGTAGCCCTGCCTCGGCTGTGAAATTCCATGCGCGTGCAGACACTGCCCCCTTCGCGCCACTAGGGGGAACTCGAGATCGAGAGACCTTTATGTTTCCTGTTTTCAACAACCAGGAAGGTCCCGGGGCCCAGCCGCTCTGTTCAAGACGCCGCTTTCATAGCTCAGAACTGATTTCATGGCCAACGGCTCTGTTAAAAACAGACATTTCTTTTTATGTTGTTGACCAGACTGTTTTGCTGGACTTCACTTAAAAAAACACACGCACAAAAAAACTAGGGTTGGGAGGGGGGTGTGTGTGGGGGAGATGAATATTTATTTGATCTTGGATATTTGTATTCTTGAATATTTGGCAACTGGGAGGCCTTGCCCTACTCCTTATTCGGGCTAATAAGGTTTTGAGACGAAATGTTCCAACACCCCAAGTACTTTAACTGTTTTTGTTATGAAACTTTTTCAGGGTGACATGAAGCCCTGCGGTATTTGTGAGGAGATCTATAAATGATGGATTTGCTCACCTCAAAATAGAACTGTAGTCGCTCCAAACTTTCCAGAAGTCGAGCACAGTAACAGAATTCATTCAGGACTTGCTAATTTCCTACTTGAAATGGGTTACATAACAAGAACAGTCCCGCCTTCGGGCCTCTCAAAACTACCCATGTAGTGATGGTGAAATGTATCATTAAAAGCTAGAAATAGCTTTGCTAAACTCTGGGAAAAAGAGGTTTTTTTCCTGATAGCTCCCCCTTTCCTTCACCCAAACATTGCATAATGTTAAAAAAGTCAACTCTTTCCATGGGATTTAATTTCATCCTCCATGTGGCTGTGGTCGGAGGGATAACTTCAGCACTCTGGGGGCTGGCAGATTTTTGGAGGATCACGCATCCCCGGATCAGTTTCCATCCAAAGCCTTAGCAGACAAACACGCCCGATCCTGGGGTTTCTCCCTTCCCCTCCTGCTCCCCCTTTGGTGGATGAGTTATCTATAACGTAGTGTCTTTTCAGAGAGCCTGCCTTCTTGCAGGAATGTCAAAGCCAAGCCACCCCTCAGCCTTCTGTGTTGAGGTTTGGACTTTGAAGTGCATTCCCGCTAAGATTTGGGGTAATTGAATCATATTGTGAGGTCACTAGCTCCTCAACCTCTACCCGACAGCCAGGCAGGCCCCATTTCTTAGAACTCAGCCTGCAGGTTCTGTTTGCTCACACTAAGAACTTGGTGTTCCAAGCCTCTGCGGTCCATTTTCAAGAGATTTAAGAGCAAAGCATTTTCTTTTCTTCTATTGGGTTCAGATAAGCCCAGAAATATTTTTAAATTTTCTTCAAGAAAGATTGCAGAATCCTGAAAGAGAAAGGGGGACAGAGGTTATATGGAATATGCTTTTTCATTCATTCATTCATCAAATATTTACTGAGCACCTACTATGTGTTGGGTACTGTTCTTTGGGCTGGAGGACAGTGGAGAACAAGATGGCAGTCCCGGCCTTCACGGTGATTACATCCTTGTATGTGTGTGAGAGAGAAGACAGATATGGATTCTAGTGTCCTAAGACAAAACGGGGTGAGGGGTGGGCAGAGGGCATTGATCAGGTAGGAGTAAGACTGGAGAAAGTGATGGGGGTCAGAGAAGCAACCCTTTGGGGATGGGCCCACTGAAGCAGAAGCCTGAAGGATAAAGAGGAGGGAGTTGTGGCAAGGTCTGGGGGAAGCAGCATTCATGCAGTGGGGTGTGCAAAGGCCCTGGGGTTGGAAAGGCTGGGTATGTTGGAGGAGCAGAAAGGGGCACATGGCTGGCGTGCTAAGACCAAGGGGGAACATGGAGGAGATGAGGGCTGGGACAGGGGTTAAGGCCTGCAGACCATGGCATTCAGACTAAGGCGCCCTGTCTGAGAACTGAGCAAGCATTATTCAAGTTTGCCTGCTACACTTGAACCGTGTCTGAGAGGCCCTGTTTCACTGCCGTCTGCGATGCCTCCCTGACCCATCCCTGCCTGTTCTCCTTTCCACCTCCGTGGTCTAGGAGGGCTCTGGGGAGACCCACCCCTCCCACTGGAATCAACCCACTCTCATTTCTTGTGTATTTCTTGTGATTTTATTGGCATAAACGACACTATTAAATAAAGGGGAGAAGAAGCCGGTCCTTGGATGAAATTCTTGCTTTTCCAGCAAATACTACCAGGCTCTGTTCTGCTTGGGGTGCAGTTGGCGGCTGTTCATCCGAGAGTCCTGGAAAGCAGGCCACCTCAGAATTGGGAGGTGAGTCCGGGGGGAGGACAGGTAGAGAGAAATGAACTGGGTCACGTTCTTCGAAGTTGCCACATTTCCAGAATAGGCCCACTTGTGTCCGATGTCGAAGAGGAAGCCTGCGTGCTGCGTGCGGGAGCCCAGGCTGTGTTCAAATTCCTCCCAAAGAAAGAAGGAATAACGAGAACAGGCTGTGGAAAAGAATGTAGTTAGTGTCTTAAAGATGGGCAAATATTCATTCTCATTTGTCCTTTTATGTGAAACAGATTTTTTAAAAGGCAATTGGAGTAGCTAATGACATCCAGAACCCTGTTGATTCCGTGGGGCGGGGGTTGAAATTGGCCCCAACGATTAATCAGACCCAAAGAAAGAGGTGAGTTGCTCGGGAATTCTTCAGAGACGGAGCCAATAATTAGAGTGTAAGATGCTACTCTCTATGCACATAACTTAGCATAATTTTCTCAGGCAGCTCATCACCACCAGAATTAGAGAAAAATCAGACCAGGAAGAATCTGCTCGCTGGGCTGACTTGTGCAGACGTGGAGACTTTTGCTCCAAAATGGCTTCAGGCTTGAGGAAGACACCAAGAGAAAGCGCTGGCGTTCTTCTGGGCCCTAACTCAAGGGAGAATAGAAATGAATGCGATGTCGTTTTAGGGGAGGTGCAGGAATTTGGGGGCGGGCAGCCTAGGGACACGTGCCATGGACCCAGCTGGAATGGAGACAGATTCGAATACCAATTTCCATACTAACTGAGCGACGGGGGGGGCCGATTCCTACAATTCTCTGAGCTTGGGGGGGGGAGGGGAGGAGTAGCCTTACCTCCACTGGGGACCTCTGAGCAAAGGGCAGGCTGCGCATCGAGGGAGGCCTCTTCGCTTCCAGACTCTTCAAACATGGAGGTCCCCCAACTGGAGAGAGTTCGCAGAGGATTTGGGATCTTGGGCGGAGGCAACATCTCCCCCTGAGTCTTTCCACTAACTTTGCTGACTCACAGGCACTCTGCCTTCGAATGCCGCCCCCCCCGCCCCGGGTCCTGCTCTCCCAGCGGCGCTCTGCGTGGGATGCGAACCTGCCTGCATCATGCGGGGCTGGCCTGGGCCTCCCTAGGGATGCTCACAGCCCTTCGGGGTTGGGGTAGATGTGGCCAAGGGAGAAAGGGGACTTCCCAAGACTCCACTGACTCCGTGATCTGGGAGGCAGAATGAGAGCAAGTCACTGAGTGGTCAATCATGTAACACTTTTTTTTTTTTTACACGAAAGCAAATTCATTACTGTAATAGAGAAGAAGGCAAATTTTGCTTGAGTTGTAAAAAAGAAACCACAAGGCCTGGGTGATGTGTTGTGGGGAAGGGTGGCTGGTGCCCGGGCAGGCGGTGCCTCTTCACTGGCTCTGCTCTTTACAGATCTAAGGGACAGCTGGTTTTATCCTTAGCCAGCCCAGGGCCGGGCCCATGGTTGGGGCTCAGTAAACGCCGAGGTTCTCGTTTTTTAATTTTTATTGTGGTAAAATACACATAACATGAAATTGACCATTGTAACCATTTTGGAATGTCTCATTCAGTGACATCGAGTCATGAGTTTTAAGAGAAGGTTCTGGAAAATTCAGGAACCTGACTGAAATAAGTGGGCCTTGCCTTATCATGGTAGAGTTGCACAGTGCTTCTGCTACCTGCCCCTCAGGATCCGGGGAGGCAGGTGTTATCATCCCCATTTGGGAGGTGAGAAAAGCGTCACAGGGAGCCTGAGGTCGGGTCAGGCCCACACAGCAACACGAATGCTCATAGCAGCACTATTCACAATGGCAAAAAAAGTGGAAATGTC